CAGCTTGAGTTAAATTAACTCCAAACGGTGAGGAGCTGCTGTTGTTAACGAGAGGGGTAGCAGTGCTGCTAGCAGCTGATGCTGGTGCAAACAAAGGATCAGCATTTTGGGGTGAATTGAAGTTGCTGGCGTTTGCCATTTTTTTCTGCTCTGATACCAAGTTAGAATTCAATGAAGATAGAGATATTCAATCAGCCGTGGCTATTGCTTCATAGATAGAGGTTTAAATAATACAATGGTATATACAAGGAATAATCTAGAGAGGACAGCTGTTAATTAGTTCTTGAATAAGTGGATCTTGTCTGGAATAATTCTACAACAACTTTGTGCTAGCACTACACTAAAAACCGAAGGAATCAGGCTGATGTTGTGTTGCTCCAGTTGGCTCATGACTTGGCAGATTTCAGCTGATGTGGAGATCCTTAAGGATAAGGTAGGTAAGTTAGTTACTTCAATTAACATTCAAGCATAAGTTAAGATCTGTTGTCAATATTTGATTGTCCTCTCGATAGACTGATATCAATTATTGTCAGCTAAGAGCAAAATGTGAATATTACACTACACGTTTTGTATCACTTTTAAAATGACATATTACCATTTAATAACAAGAATTAATGTAATGAGGTAACAGGTATCAACTCACAAAGTGGCCATCAATTAGAGAAAGTGAAAGTTAAAAAGCTGAATAACAAGTAGGTGTAAAAAAGAAAGCAGCAATCAGTCTGACAGTTGGAGAAGATTGTCGAATTAAATCCAGTCTCCATTTTTGCAGCAGACAAGGTGGTAAGAAGAGAAGAAGAAAAGGCAATGAAATAGGAGAAACTGACATGAGCTACATAAAGGAGGCAGGAAATATCACTAAACTTAGGTATGAAGATCGCCATCATCTGCACACGTACAATGAAATCAAGGCTGAAAATTAATTGAATTAAAATTTACTGTTAAATCAATTTGACTTCAAATCATTAACATATAATCATTAATAAAGTTTGTATTATTTCTCTCTCCTTTTTAATCTTAGAGCTCATTTGGTAGAAATTAAAATTGGATTAAAATTGAAAAATTAGTCGTTATTGTTGACTTTTATTAGACGAGTGGGACCCAATAACGGTCATATTTTTAATTTTAATTGGATTTTAATCTGTACCGAACAGCCCTTAATGCTATTTANTTAATCGGTACCAAACGGGCTCTTAGTTTTGAAGTAATTTTATTCATATTTTTTAATAACATATTTAATTTTGAGAAAAAGAAAAGTGTGAGTTCATATTTGATGGAAATTAAAATAAAGATTTTAATCAAAGTCAAAGTCAACAATTAATTTAACCACACATTTTATCAAAATTTACTGAAATTCTAATTTTTATCTAAACCAAACAAGGATTAATTCTTAACATATTTCATAGAACTTGTAGTACAATTTTCTATAAATAAATTACACAAATTTAACGAAAAAACGTTAATTAAAATATGTAGCATTAGAACAAACGAGCAAAGGGCATCAGCAAAGAATGAAAATGAAAAGCAATGAGAGACGATGGTTTTTATGCTATGTTAAAAAATAAAGCTCGAAAAGAGTATTACTCGAAAAAATGGGATTCAAACACAGGTTAAGTTTCATTTTGGGTGTTGGAATCAGAGGGACACCTACATAGACCAAACCATTACTCTCCTTAACTCTCATTTACATAGGAAGTTGGAAAATGAACTGGAAAGTAAACTACACGTCTCTCTCTCTCAATGCAATCCAAACCATGGTGACCGAAAGCAAAGCAAACGTCCTTCCAACTTTCTTTCGGAAAAAAAATTGCCTTTAAGAATGCACTTTCCATGGACTCAAGAAACTGCCTTTAATATCAGATAAGATTATGATAAGAATTCATAATAAATTAATGAAATAAACAATTACCACAAAACTAAACAATATTATATGAATAAGCATTGATCTTTCACTCTTAGACGTATAAATTACTTGACCTCTCTAATTGCTAAAAACACCGAACTAAACAATTAGCACAAAATGTGAATAAGCATTTCATGAGTACGAATAATCCTAAAAGTAAATTTGAGAATGTAACGAAATTCAAGCATATATAGCTAACATTAAGTTGGACAATCAAGTAGGGCAAGCTATTATTTATTTTTATTTTAACTTCAAAATTTTACTCGTAATACATAAATCTTTTTCAATTAACAAGAAAAAATATGTTATATTTTTCAGTTTAATTGATAAGGTTAAGTCTCCTAAATTAATAAATCCGTAGTCTACCTAGTACTAATATTGTATGAATTATTTTGGCTTAATTTTCTTAGTACTAATGATACATTAGTTAATTATTTGTGTTTATTTTGACTTCTAAATTATTAATCCATTTAATTATAAATTTATAATTAGTGATTATATGAATGGGGTTTATTATCGTACAAGAAGGTAAAAATAATAATAAATATTAATTCCTGTTTGATGGCTATTATGAAAAGAAATTAGGGGAAAAATAATGTTTTGAATAGTGATTTTTTGAAAAACGTGTCATTAGAAGATAAGAAATTTTTTTGGATTTACGTACAGAATATTTTATTGTGTGAAAATGTGATTAAAAGTAAGTATGAAAAATAAAAAGTATTAATTTAAAAAGAGTCAAACACGGGCTAAATGGTATCAAGTACTATTTGTATAAATAAAAAAAGATACAACCAATCTTCAATCACATCCTCTTCAACATTTTTTTTTCATTTCAAGTGTGTTAATTTTATTTTGTAAAGAAAAATTTCGGATTGAAAGAGCAGCCCTTAACAATAATGCATGCACAATTAAACATTGCATGGTTAGTCGAGTAAATCTCAACAAAATGAAAAAGATATCTAGTTAACAAAAATTATAGGAAGCTATATTTGCTAAGAATCATGTTACGCTCACAGAAAAGTTGACATAATGTCATATGACATTATATCATTGCACTATTTAAAATACAATCAATTTTTATATCTAATCATCTTATGTCACCATTTCAAATGTCACTACGTCTATTAATTCTTTCTCACACAGTGGCACAATCCTTCCAAAATCATGCTACAATGTCATAAAAGTTGACATAATGTAACACAACATTCTATCATTGAGCTACTTAAAATACTATCAGCTTTTACATCTAATCAGCTTCTGTCACCACTTCATTTGTCAAAGCATTTGTCGATCTTTCTAGTAAAGTGGCATAATCCATCCAAAATCATACTACAATGCCAGACAAATTGACATAATGCGAATCTATTGCAGAAATAAATTGGGTCAAGTAGGGTTTTGGGAACCGTTGGCAAAATGCAAGCCAATTTTTTAAATCTAGCACACCTGTTTAGATTTAGAATTATGCCACTTTGCTATAAAGAATTGACAAATGCAGTAATAGATGAAATGGTGGCAGTAGATAATTTAATGAAAAAATAGATCAATAATAGAATGTCATGTGACATTATCTCAACTTTTTTGACAACAAAGCTTAATTCTTCTTGGATTACGATAAAGTTATATATAATATTTCCAGGACCCGTTTCAACTCTCCTCATCGATGCACACTTCTGCAAACACGTAACGTATAAACCAAGAGACAAACTGATCAAATTCTGTATCTCTCTCTCTCTCTTCCGTGCACAAATCAGAGCTGCACCATCCCCTGTGCTTTCTGAAGAAAATTCTATGTAAGCCTCAGCATGTGCTCCTGGTTATATTCTCTTTGCATCTCCTCCGTGGGAAATGACTTGTACTATGAGTACTCAACAAGTGATATATTCTAGTTTTAATGCAAATATTCAAGGAAGGGTATGGGGTTCACTTTAAATTTAATTCTCTTTCCATTTTAATTTACACTTTTGCAGGTGATTCTTGTTTCGGGTTTTGTCTTTTACATTCCTTTATCGCTTTAAATTAAAGACCTACTTTTAATGTCATGAATGGGGTGAGGGTACCTACTAGTCATATATTCATAATAAACTGAAAATAGGATTATATTTAGGTCTGGAGGCTATAAGAAGAGAACAGGTATAATTCTCATATCATCATTTTAGCAATCATGGGTTCATCAAATAGGCATTGGCCAAGCATGTTCAAGTCCAAGCTCTGCACTACCACCACCACCCACCACCAATGGTTACATGGCATCAACTCCTCTATCATGTCAACCGGCTGCCAAAAACCGACATATACATCAGGTAATTAATTACTCAAATTTTATGAAAAGTATGTATCAAGTTTTTGATTGAGGGCATCTTGAGACTAAATTTTAATAAGTAAATGTGTTAGATGAGGTGATTCAACGTGCTTGTCATTCTTTGGACGTTGGACGAGTTCCTATATAAATTATTGAATACTCATTGATGTTATTTTTCAACAGTGGCCGGAGCTGGAGGTGAAGAGAGAACTCTAGAGCCAAAGCCAAGATGGAACCCAAGACCAGAACAAATCCAAATACTAGAAACCATTTTCAACTCTGGAATGGTAAATCCTTCAAGGGATGAGATAACGAAGATTAGGGCTCAATTACAAGAGTATGGCCAAGTGGGAGATGCCAATGTTTTCTATTGGT